CGCCGAACGTTGGGGCCCGTTGCCGCCTCCGGAGTGTCCCGAGGACTCGCCATGCTCCGTCTTGCGCTGCCCCCCGTCACCGCCTGTGGGGGGGGGTTCGAGGATGCAGACCTGCTCTTCGAAGCACGACCGCAGAGAGACGCTTGTGCATCGCATCGGCGCATCCACAGGGCCGTAGCCGAGTATTCGGGGTCCACGCTGTCAAACATATGTGTGCTTGTCTGTTTTGTGTCTCGATCCTGACGTTGCGAACAAATCACAACGGGATGTCTCGCCAGGCCCCAGGACTGTCAAAAAGGGATCCGCGAGATGATAAGTTGGCTGGCTCGGCTGGATGCCCCCATTTGGACTTATCCCATCTGGACTTATCCCCCCATTTGGACTTATCCCATTTGGCTCGGCTCTCTCCCCATCTGGACTTATCCCCCCATTTGCATCCCGCCAACTGGCGAGAGTCCCCAGATGCCGAAAATTACCAAACATCTCCCGTAGTCATTCACGGGTTCACGCCGCACCGCCGACCTTTGAGGGCCGAGCTGCGGGGCCAGCAGCAAGCGACAGAGCGGTCGCGGCTCCGAAGGCTACTTCGATGCCCCCTTCTCTTTCCCTGTCTTGGGCCCGCTTGTGGAGCCCTATTGGGTGGCCTCTGGTGCCTCTTGGGGCCTCTTGCTGGCCTCCTGGAAGCCTCTTGGAGGCCTCGTGGGGGCCTGGTGGGGCTTCTAGGGGGCTTCTGGGCGGTCTCTGGGGCTATTTTGGCATCGGGGCACCTTTGTTGTCACCCTCCAGGGCCCATCTCGGGCCGTCTTGGGCGCATGTTGGTCCGTCTCAGGGGCCTCGTGGGCCGTCTTTGGACCTTCTTGGGCGGTTAGGGCGCTCTCTTGGCGGCTTCGAGGGCTGTCTCGGTGCGATGTTGGAGGCTTTGTTGGCTGTCGTGGACGCTGCGTGGACCTAAAATGCGAAGGAGAGGACAATAGAAGTTTCCAGGAAGGATTGGGACGATGTTTCCTTCTTGGGCTCCTCCTGGCGGTGTTTCTGGAGCCGTCTTGCGGCGTTTTGGGGGGCCTCTTAGGCTGGTCCTGAGGCCATCTGAGGTCGTTTGTGAGCAAACGCGAGCCATTCGGAGAACGGAAAACTGTTGCTAAATCGACCGTGGTCTTCCCCCTTGCAGGGTCAGGTGATTGCGGCGGCCCCTCCAGCCAGACCCCCACTCCTTCTTTTCCAGTTGGCCAGACTGGGCTCCCAGGGGAGGGTTTTGTGGAGTGTTGTAAACGACGATCAATGGAGAAAAAAGGTTGACTGATAATTTCCGGATGTTTTAAACATGTTTTCAACATGTAAAAGCTAGTGTTAAACATTTTTAGAACATGTTTCGAACATGTTCAACCTTTTTGTGGTGAGTTCGATGATAGCACTGTTAGGGTGTCCAGTGTCATGGCATGCACAAGTGGAATGGCAGTTATCTCACGCAGGGAGGAGGTGGGCGTCAGCGCCGCCTGCCCCAAAGAGCAGCTCGAGCCCATGTGGCCACGGCCCCCGCCGGCTCCTCGGCGGGCTGCAGCGGGTCGGCGCCCTCGGCGCCAGCAGGATCGCCACGTGAGCGACGGAGGAGGAGGAGGAGGAGGAGGAGGAGGAGGAGCAAGAGCAGGAGCAGGAGGAGGAGGAGGAGGAGGAGGAGGAGGAGGAGGAGGAGGAGGAGCAGGGGGGGGGCAGGGGGTCGATTGCGCCGACGCTCGCGCGCGGGCCTGCCGCGCAGTGCCGCGCAAGCAGGCGCCCCCTTCTCCGCGTGGCGCTCCGCGCTGCTGGCCCGCGCGGGCCGCGGCGTAGGGCCGCCATGCCTTCTGCTCGCGTCCGACGCGCTTCTCTCTTGAGCGCTCCTGCGGGCCGCCCGGCGCAGCCCCCAGGGGGTATCGGGCCGCCGGCGCCGAGGACCTGCGCCTCACCGTGCCCGAGAGCGTGCCGCCGGGGAGCCAGATGATCCTGACGCTCGACCACGCGACGCGGAGCCCCCGCCCCGTGCCGGTGCTCGGGATCAGGGGCAACCTCAGGGTGAAGTCGGGCCTGGGCCTGTGCAGGAGGAGTATTCAGAAATAGTGAATAGGGGGCCACATGCGAACCCTACCCCTACCCCCCACGATTTCTGAGGGGGAGGGTGGGGTTCACTTCGCTCGGGATCTCCCGAAACGAACAAAAAATAGGGGAAACCCCACCCTCCCCCTCAGAAATCGTGGGGGGGTAGGGGTAGGGTTCGCATGTGGCCCCCTAGTTAAAAAAAGGTACTGGAGAACAAACCCAATCATAATCTTTTTAAGGCTTTAGGGCTATGGGGCTGTAAGGCTATAGGGCTAGAAGGCTATGGGGCTATCGGGCTACAGGGCTACAGGGCCATAGGGCTATAGGGCTATCGGGCTATAGGGTTATGGGGCTGTAGGGCTATAGGGCAATAGGGCTACAGGGCTATAGGGCTATAAGGCTATAAGACTATAGGGCTATTGGGGCTATAGGGCTACAGGGCTATAGGGCTACAGGGCTATGTGGAGCTACCGGGCACCCGGGCACCTGGGCACCCAGGCACCCGGGCACCTGGGCACCCGGGCAGCCCCGGGCACCCGGGCACCCCCGGGCACCCCCGGGCACCTGGGCGTGCGGCGAACTCGGCGGCAAGCCTAACCTAACCACATGAATCCGCTAGGACCTCTACAGAGGCAAGCTCTGATTGGGAGGAGGAGGAGGAGGAGGAGGAGGAGGAGGAGGAGGAGGAGAAGAAGAAGGGGGAGGGGGAGGGGGAGGAGGGGGGGAGGAGAAGGAGGAGGAGGAGGAGGAGGAGGGAGGACTCTGGAGGACGATTTTTGAGAATTTTTTTTTTTTTTTTTTTGTTGCATGTCTTGTTTGTCGCCCAAGATCCCCCCGTCGGAGGACAGGCCCCGACTTAACATTAGGGGCGGGGTAGGCCCTGGGGGGGACACAGCAGCCCCCGATCTCCCACAGATCGCCAGGAGGGGCCTGTCAGCCAACCCCGCATGCGAACGAGCGGAGTCGCTCTCGGGGACCCACCGCCGATCTATCGCATCGCCGATGCCAGGTCGATGTTTCTCCTCCCCCTGCGCTAGCCCTCCACCTAGCCTTCACCCTCAGGGGAGGGAGGAGAGGCTGAGGGCGGCGGGGCGGGTCAGGAGGGATGATGATGATGATGATGATGATGATGATGATGAGGATGATGATGATGACGATGACGATGATGATGATGATGATGATGATGATGATGATGATGCTGATGCTGATGATGATATGATGATGGTATGGTGATGATGATGATGATGATGATGATGATGATGATGATGATGATGATGATGATGATGATGATGGTGGTGACGGTGATGGTGGTGATGATGATGGTAATGGTGATGGCAATGATGATGATGATTATGTTGATGCTGATGATGCTGATGCTGACGATGATGCTGGTGCTGATGCTGATGACGACCATGGTGACGGTGATGGTGGTGATGATGATGGTGATGGTGATGGTAATGATGATGGTGATGCAGATGATGCTGATGCTGATTATGATGTTGATCATGATGGTGATGGTGATGGTGATGGTGATGGTGGTGGTGATGGTGATGATGCTGATGAGGAGGAGTAGGAGAAGGAGGAGAAGGAGAAGGATGAGGATGAGGATGAGGAGGGTGATGATCATGATGTTGATGGTGATGCTGATGTTGATGCTGCTGCTGGTGGCCATGATGAATGCCATGATCATGGTCTTGGCCATGGTAATGGTGATGATCATGATAGTGGTGGTGATGATGATGATGATGGTGGTGAGGTTTATGGTTGTGGTGGTGATAATGATGCTGATGATGAGGATGATGATGATGGTCATGAGTATGGTGGTGGTGGTGGTGGTGTGATGCTGGTGATGATGGTGGTGGTGGTGATGATTGTAATGATGATGTTGATGATGGTGATGTTGGTTACCGTAATGTGATGGCGATGGTGATGATGATGGTGACGATCGTGGTGGTGATGCTGGTGTTGATGAGGATGCGGATGAGGACGATGATGATGATGATGATGATGATGAGTATGAAGATGATGTTGATTGCTGTAGTGATAGTGAGTTCGATTGTGATTGTAATAATTCTTGTGATGGTGATGCTCATGCGAATGCTGGGGGCAGTGGTGATGCTGAGGATGAGGATGCGGATGACGATGATTACCATGCTGATGCAGATTACGATCGTGACGTTGTTGATAATGATGATGCTGATGGTAATGATGATGATGAGGCTGATGATGGTGATAATGACGATCAGGATGATGATGGCGATGATGGTGATAATGATGATCACTACGATGCTTACGATTATGATGATGACGTTGATCAGGTAATGAGATTGATTGGATGGTGGAGGAGGAGGATGGTCACGCTGAGCCTTTGTCACGGTGTTGACCGCAGGCGGCGTCTCACCGGTGCCCCTTGCCATGCCGGTTCTGGGCGCGCGTGCGTGTTTATTTTTCCGTTGCCTGCCGCATGAAATTGTCTATTACAGGTCGGTTCGTGAAGCGTGCGCTCTTCGCAATGGTGCGTTGGATGGATTGCCGTGGCAGTGGCCGTATGGACCTTGCGGTAGGAGCTATAATACACACAATTCGTAGCAGTTGCCACTTGGGTTTCTCTTGTCCCTCTCCGTGCCGTCTTCCTCTCCATCTGCCTTCTCCTCCTGATCCTCCCTTCGAGGCTGCTCAAGTTCTGAGGGATTGTGGCGCTTCCGCATTTGCAGTCCGACATTGGGGCTATAGCACCTCACACCCGCAGTGTCGCTTTGATTTCTGTGGAGTTGCTTGGCCGCCCAGTTGTGATTTTGAGGTGAGCTGATTTGAGGTCGGCTCCGTCCGCTTCCTCCCCGAAGATGATGATGACGAGAAAGATGAAGATGAAAAGGACGAGGAAGAGGAAGATGAAGGTGAGGTGAAGATGATGATGATGATGCTGATGATGCTGATGACGATGATGGTGGTGGTGGTGGTGATGATGACGATGACGATGCTGACGACGATGATGATGGTGATGATGATGGCGATGGTGATGATAATGATGATGATGATGCTGCTGCTGATGATTCTGATGATGACGGTGCTGGTGATCATCATCCTCATGACAATGATGGTAACGATGATGATAATGATGGCGATGAGGAGGATGACGTTCATGGTGGTGCTGTGATGATGGTGGTGGTGTTGCTTGTGATGGTGCTTCTGTGATGGTGATGGTGATGGTGATGACGATGCTGATGCTGCTGATGATATCGATGTTGCTGGTGGTGATGATGATGATGACGATCATGATGATGATGATGATGATGATGATGATGATGATGGCAGTGATGCGGCTGATGAGGATAGTGGTGGTGATGATGATCATGATGATGGTGGTAATGATCAGCATGCTGAGACTGATGACGACGATGATGATGATGATGACGACGGTGATGATGCTGGTGATGGTGATTGTGATGATGATGGTGGTAATGATGGTGATAGTGATGGTGTTAGTGGTGCTGATGAACAGGAGGAGGAGGGAAAGCGATGAGGAGGAGTACAGGGAGGCCGAGTAGAGTGGACCAGGGGGAGAGCGAGGTTGTAAGTTCTCTGACGACTGGGTGCGGCTGGAAAGGGAAGGGGGTTTTTGGGGGGTTCGGGGGGGAGGGAGCGAGCGAGAGAGACAGAGAGGGGGAGAGAGAGGGGTAGCGATAACGACATGTATACATGTATAGATAGACATATGTATATAGCATGTCGGGGGGAAGGTGATGACGATGTGGAAATGCCGCTGAAACTGTTGATGTTAAGGTTGTTGATGACTGATTTGGTTGATAGCATGTTGATGGATCTAACCGGACACGATGAGACGGGATGATGATGGTGATGGTGACAGTGATTATGGAGGACGGTTGCGATGCCGATGACAGGGGTGACGATCATGGTGACGATACTGATGATGATGATGATGTTGTTGTTGATGATTATGATGATGCTGATGGTGGTGATGATGATGATAGTGATGGTGATGGTGATAGTGATGCTGATGATGTTGATGTTGATGATGACGATGGTGATTTTGATGACGACGATGATAGTGAGAAGGACGAGGATGAGGGGGAGGAAGAGAAGGATTTCGTGGATCCTGATGATGATGATGCTGATGGTGATGGTGATGGTGATGGTAATGTTGGTGATGATGATGATGGTGGTGATGATGCTGATGATGACGATTATGATGCTGATGCTGATGCTGCTGATGCCGATGTCGATACCGATGCCGATGCCGATGCCGATGGCCATGATGATGATGATGTTGATGATTCTGAGTATGATGATGGTGGTGATGGTGATGGTGATGGTGATGATGACGATGATGATGATGATGATGAGGACGATGGTGATGGTGATGGTGGTGATGATGCTGATGATGATTGTGTTGATGATGATGATGATTATGATGATGCTGCTGATGCTCATGCTGATACCGGCAATGATGATGATGGTGATGGCGATGGTGATGGTAATGTTGATGATGATGGTGATGGTGGTGACGGTGATGGAGGTAGTGACGGTCATGCTGATGGTGATGGTGATTGTGATGGTGGTGATGATGATGGTGATGGTGATGGTGATGGTGATGGTGAGGGTGATGGTGATGGTGATGGTGATGGTAATGATGATGGTGATGCTGATGATTATGATGATGCTGATGATCATGATGATGGTGCTGATGCTGATGCTGCTGTTGATATTCATGATGATGCTGGGGCGAGGGTAATGGTGATGGTGATGGTGGCAATGATGATTGTGGTGGTGATGATGAATCCGATGCCGGTGTTGATGATCATGAGTATGATGTTGGTGATGATGGTGATGGTGATGTTGCTGTTGATTGATGATGGTGGTGATGCTGATTATGATGATGATGAGGTTGATGATGGTGATGGTGTTGATGATGACGATGGTGATGACGACGATGGTGATGACGACGATGATAGTGACGATGCTGATGATGATGATGAGGAGGAAGAGAAGGAGGTGGAGGATGAGGGGAGATCAGAACACGAGGAAGACGAGGAGAATAATTATCGGGAATGAGGGTGCTGGTGGAGAAGGGTGAAGATGGGGAGAAGGGAGAAGCTCAGATGAGAGGCAGTAAAGACAGCGGCGGCCCTCCCTGGCGCTTTTTTGATATGTGCATGTATATGCATATCTATGTACACATACATGTGGGTGTATGCATTTCCATGTGTTTACACATAGTGATGTGCATATGTATATACCGGAATACAGAGTTGTTATATACATACACATACACATGCACATACACCTACACCTACACATACACATGCACATACACATACACATACACACATACACATACACATACACAGACACAGACACAGGCACAGGCACAGGCACAGACACAGACACAGACACAGACACAGACACATACACATACACATACACATACGTACATACATGCATGCATGCATGCATGCATACACACACATACATACATTCAACCATACATACAAACATACATGCATACATACGCACACACACACACACACACACCCTTTTGGGGGCCTCCTGGAGGCCTCTCGTCGCCACGGTTGGCTCCGCTTAGAAACACGCGTATCACGACGGACCCCCTGGCGGGGTCTCTGGGCACCGCTTCTGAGAGGCTCGACGCCGGGCGGGAGAGCGGCCGCTGCATCCCTCGGCCCTCCTCCGAGATGAGGGGCGCGGCGAAGGCGGAGGGAGTTCTCAGCGACGACCGCGCCGCGGGCGTTCGGGGTTCCACGCCGCCAGCGGCCATTCGTCCAGCCCGTCAGAGTCCCGATCGTCCAAGGTTGAACGATCCCAGCCTCCTCCTCCTCCTCCTCCTCCTCCTCCTCCTCCTCCTCCTCCTCCTCCTCCTCCTCCTCCTCCCCCTCCTCCCCCTCCTCCTCCTCCTCCTCCGCCCGCCCCGCCCCCCGCAGGGCGGTGTCAGAAGCCAACGCCCCCGTCGACGCGCCACGAGACTCGAAGCCTGCCGCACTTTGCGGGACGACTGCACCAAGACGTGGGCGGGCTCAGGCCCCTCCTGGCAGCTCCCCCGGAGGAGCCAGCGCGACCGCTTCCGCTCCGCTCCGCCCCGTTGCGTGTGTGGAATGAGCGACGGACAGAAGGAGGAGGAGGAGGAGGAGGAGGAGGAGGAGGAGGAGGGGAGGAGGAGGACGAGGGGGAGGGAGGAGGCAGGGAGTGGGGAGGAGGTGCAGGAGGAATAGAGGAGGAGGAGGAGGAGCACGGAGGAGGAGGAGCAGGAGGAATAGAGGAGGAGGAGGAGGAGGAGGAGGAGCAGGAGGGAGGAGGAGGAGGAGGAGGAGGAGGAGGAGGAGGAGGGGGAGGAGGGGGAGGGAGGAGGGGGAGGAAAAAAAGGAGGAGGAGCAGGAGGAGCAGGGCGGAGGAGGAGCAGGGGAATAGTGGAGGAGGAGCGGAGGGAGCAGGAGGAGCAGGAGGGAGAAAAAGAGGAGGAGTAGGGAGGAGGAGGAGGAGGAGGAGGAGGAGGAATAGAGGAGGAGGAGGAGGAGGAGGAGGAGCAGGAGGAGGAAGATGAGAAAGAGGAGGAGGAGGAGGAGGAGGAGGAGGAGGAGGAGGCGGCGCAGGAGGAGCCTCACGAGCGGCGACCACATCCGCATCCGCACCCTCGCGGCCTGGGGACTCCCAGGCTCGACTCCCAGGAGTGCGATCCCGGGCTCGATCCCGGGAGTACTTCCTGAGGTTTTCCATGGGAAATGGAGGTTGAATTTACCCATCGGTCGTTGAAAGTAGGTATTTCTGGACTCCCAGATTCCAATCTACTTTCAGCGCCTTCTACTTCCAGAGTCGAGTGGTTTTCCCTCTTCCTTCCTCTTCAGGAGGCGGGCGGAAACCCAATGTATTTCCAACGCCTTCCTACTTCATGTTTCTACCTACTTCTTCCGACCGATGGGTACTTCCTGAGGTTTTTCCATGGGAAATCGAGGTTGAATTTATGGGAAACAGTGGCCTCGTTCCTTATCTAGTCGGGAGCGGAAAAGAGGGGGGTGATGACTAGGGGGGGGTGGATATCATGGCGGGGGCCGTGATATTTCCCCAGATTTCATGGCGCCCCTTCTTGTTTCATTACGTCCCAGGCCCCCCCGCCGGGCCGCGCACATGCCGCCGGTCATGATTTGCACCCCCCCCTCTTGGACGCCCCCCTCTTGCCGTCCCGACCATGGGAAAAATCGAGGCTTCAATTATATGGAAAACAGTGGCCTCTTTCCTTATCTGGGCGTTCCTTAGGTCAACGCCCCGACTGTACGCGGTTCGCGCGGGGGGGATATACGCTACCGACTCCGCGCGGTGGCTTTCGCGAGTCGGGGCGCCGGCCGTCCGCGGGACGCGCGGCCCGGGGGCCCGGCCCGCGATAGGGCCCGTGAAAACACCGATTTTTTGGGTTTTCGAGCACGTAGGATGACGAGACAGTCGATTCGCCCCCCCCCCCCTCCTCCTCCTCCTCCTCCTCCTCCTTCCTCCTCTCTCTCCTCCTCCTCCTCCTCTACCTCCTCTCCTTCCTCCTCCTCCCTCCTGCCTCCTCCCCCCCTTTCCTCCTCCCCTCCTCCTCCCTTCACGCTCCTCTTTCCTCCTCCTCTTTTTCTCCTCCTCCCCCTCCTCCCTCTCCCTCCTCCCTCCTCCCTTCCTCCTCCCTCCTCCCTCCTCCCTCCTCCCACTACTCCTCCTCCCCCTCCTCCCCCCCTTCCTTCTCCTCCTCCTCCTCCTCCTCCTCCTCCGCCTCCTCCGCCTCCTCTCTCTTTCCTTCTGCGGTCGGCGCGGTCATCTAACGTATGAGGGGTGTGTCGGTCGGTGTGGGGGGGGGGGCGTCGCCCTGCCAGGAGGTGGAAGTGCATCGCGGAGCCGTCGGACTCGGCGCCGCAGGCGCGGTGTGGGCAGCATGCGGGGGGGGTGCACCCGTGCCCTGCGTTGCGACGACGGCGAGGGCGTGGACGAACACGACGACGGCGCTGGCAGGGCTTCGCGCCCTCCTCCCCCCTCGATCCCCCTCTCCTGCCCTCGTCGATCCGCGACGAGGGCACGGTCTGAGCCGCTCTTCTCCTTCACCCCACGCTCGGGCAGGCCGCGGCTCCGCGGAGAAGGTTTCTTCACGGGAGGCCCAGTGCATCGGGCGAGACCGTGCGCCCTCCCGATCTGCGTGTCGCGCGGATGCCGCGCGGTGGCCCTGACATAGGTTTCGGCTTTGTCGCGGGCTGAGCCGGCTTGTGGTTTTGGTTCTCAGCCAGGTCAAGTTACAGCAGCAATGATCGGATGTGTGTTAACATCATGGTGTTAGGTACGCTAAGGGTACACACGTGTGCGTAACACATTGGTATTGTTGCCTGCAGGCAGAGTGCGGATCTAGAGCCGATCCAAGCCCTCAAGTTCTCCGAGCCGCTGACCTGCGGCGAGGGCCAGCAGCGACGGCCACGAACGACGAGCAGCGAACTTGGCAAAGTTGGGTTGTGTTGGTTCAATCGAGCAGCCCCAGGCGCCCCTCTATCGAAGACCGATGTCTAACCACATCCACCTCTGGATCCTCGATTCTATGATAGGCCCTCGGGGGTGGAAGTGGGTAGTTTTTCCTTCCCCTGGGGCGGGGAAGCTGCCCACCTCCACCTCTGGAAACCGCTTTTCGCAAGGCACCTCGGGAAGTGGGTGTGGTCAGAAATCGGTCTCCTACTCCAGGCGTTGCTCCCAGGGTCGGTCCCATCTCGGGAGCATCTGGGTGATATCGAGGCGCTGCTCGGATCTCTCAGGGCGAGGGGCATCCAGGGCCCATGCCGATTCTTCCGCTTCGATGCGGTCCGATTTCGGCGGCTTCCGATTCCGACTCGACTCGTCCTGGGATTCCGATTGGGGCCCCGCTCTCTCCATGGAGGGCCTACGGGCCTGCCGATCTCCGCCGGATCCGACGGCTCCCGGCTCGGCCGCCGACTCTTCCGCCGATCCGACTCCTCTCGATCGCCGAGCCGACTCCTCGATTCGAGCCTGGGCTCTCCTGGGTACCCCAGATTTCGTAATAGAGGGAGGGGGGGTCTCATTTCGGGGGGGGTCTCTTCCAGGCTATCTTGGAGGGCCTGGGGGGGTCTGGGGACGATGTTTTGGAGGGTTCTCCCACGGGGGAGGTCTGAAATAGCTTGTCTTGGAGGGTCCAGACCCCCTCCCTTTTAGTACGAAATCTGGAGTATCCAGCACGGTGGAGGCGTTTGTGAAGGAATAGTCCCAGGAGGCGCCAGGCCCTGGAGGATTCCTCCTCCAAAGAGGGCGGCGGTGATACCCATGGCCGATCCGCGATGGGAGTTCCACTCCCAGACATGCGACGTCCTGATTTTTTCAGGACGGCGTTCCCGGAAGTCCAGACCCTTTCCCCGGGGCCAGTTTTTCATCCAGAGTCGGTTTTTGACGGTCCCGAGGCAGGGCCCCCTGGAGTCGAAAATCGCTAAAAACCTTTCGTCCTGATTTTTTCACGACGCGATCATGTCTGGGCTGGCTTCGAGGCCCTGGATTCCTGATCTCAGGCTTCCTCAGTCAAGGCCCACACCGTACTGCCCTGCAGCCGAGGAGGAGCCGCCTCGTGCCAGCGGTGGGCACCGGACGCCCTCCGCGGTGCCCGGCGCTGCGAGCCTCCCCCGAGGCGGCCCTCGCGCGCCGTCCGGGCCCGCGTGCGGGCCGGGGCGCACGGCGCGGCCCGTGCGCGCCGCCTTCTCCCGTGGGGCCGCCGCGGGTCGCCGGAGCTCCTCCTCCTCCCCCTCGTCCTCCTCCTCCTCCTCCTCCTCCTCCTCCTCCTCCTCCTCTTTCCTCTCCCTCCTCCTCTCCTCTTCCTCTTCCTCCTCCTCCTCCTCCTCCTCCTCCTCCTCCTCCTCCTCCTCCTCCTCTTCGGGGCGCAAGAGACGGGGGTCCATGCCAACGGGGGTCGGCCAGAGCGCCGGATCTTGCAGGATCCTGCAGGGCCAGGGTCGCACTGACCCGGGTTTGGGTGCAGGATCCTGCAGGATCCTGCAGGATCCTTCGCATTGACCCGGGCTTGGGTGCAGGATTTTGCAGGATCTTGCAGGACTCTGCAAGGCCTGACTGACCCGGGTCTGGATTGACCCGGGTCAGCAGGTCCCCGACCGCAATTGCAGCGGTGCGTCTGAGGGCTGAGCTTGTGAAGTTCCAACCTACTCTAGCCTTGATCGCCAGAAAGAACGTCGAGCACAGGGAGTGCACCGAATTTGGAAGGTGTTCACGTGTTGGGCCCTGGGAGGCGATTTTCGTTCGACACTGTTTCGATAATTATTTTTCTAGGTGCTCAAAATTATTCCTGGGAGGTGCGATGAGAGCAACAGAAGGTTGGGCACGCCTGAGAATTCACGGGGCGAAGAACGGGATAAAGTAAGACGTTTCCGCCGTCGGGGGCGCTTGCACCCCAGGCGGGTGCAAAGTTTATACCCCCACGGTACAACGTAGGGGCATCATCTTTCCTGCCGTCCAGGGACAGGCGCCCCCGACGGCGGACAAGGTTATGTTATGCAGTTATTCGCCCGCTGAGAGAAAACTTGCCAAGAGAGTTAGCTGACAAAGAGCGCAACATTTGACTCGTCGCGTATCCACACAGCCCATCCGGGAACGACCTCCGAGCGAGCTGTGCTGAAGAGGGGAAAGAGACCAGCATCAGGGAAACAAGATGTCGGACACACCACTCAAACCGAAGCTGGCTCAGCTGGAGCAGCTCGAGCGCGGACGCGGACGGCGAGGTCGGCGAGGACGACGAGGACGACGCCGAGCAGGCGTTAGAGTCTAGGGCACACGTGTCCCAAGACGACGACCCCCGAGTAGGGCCCAAGAAGCAATAATCGTCTAAATCCCGAGCGTAAACGTATTATGTTGAGCATTTTCGCATGTTTGATCGTAACAGCGTCCACGACGGCTCAAGAGGCCCCCAAGATCGCTCCAAGACGGCCCAAGAACCCCCCAAGCGGGCCCCCAAACGGCCGAAGAGGGTCCTAAGACTTCCCAAGAGGCGCCCCAGATGGCCCAAGAGAGCCCCAACAGCGCCCCAAGCGGGGCCCAAGAGACGCGTCCTCCGCCCCAAGAGGGCCCCCGAGACCGCCAGCAGGCGCCCAAGAAACTCCCGAGAGGCTCGAAGAGGCCCCCAGGAGGTCCAATAAGACGCCCCAAAAGGCCTCACCCATGGACAGCATCCCTCTCCTGGGGGTCGCCCGAATGGCGCAAGCCTCTTGAATAGTCTAGGGCGAGCGAGGGGGACTAGACTTTCGCCCAGCACGCGCAGGGAAAAGCCCAGGGTGGACGGGGTGGGGTGGGCGGGGGGGGCTAGACTTTTGCTCAGCGTGCGAAAGGCAGAGTCTAGGACGGGCGGGGGGGGGGGGCTAGACTTTGGCCCAGCAGGCAGTCGTAAGGAAAAGTCTAGAGCGGGCGGGCGGGGCTACTCCAGATTTCGTACTAAAAGGGAGGGGGTGTGGACCCTCCAAGACAAGCCATTTCAGACCCCCCCCCCTGGGAGAACCCTCCAAAACATCGTCCCCAGACCCCCCCAGGCCCTCCAAGATAGCCTGGAAGAGACCCCCCCCGAAATGAGACCCCCCCTCCCTTTACTACGAAATCTGGGGTAGGTTTGTGCCTGGCAGGCGCAGGGAGAGGCCCAGGGCGGGCCGGAGGCGTGCCAAGACCTTGGCCCGGCAGGCGCACGGCAGAGCCTGGGGCGGGCGGGGCAGGAAGGGGCGGGTCGAGGCGCAGGCGGTCGGCGGAAGTGAAAGCGCGAGAGCTCGGCCAGGTGCACACCAGTGCATCTTTCTCGGAGGTGGACAGAACCCCCAACAGTGACACGTCGATTCGTGAATTGTCCGTTTTCGGTTCTCGAGAGGGCGCCGTGGCCGTTATTTTCCAGGCTTGCGCCCGCCAGGTTTGGGCCTCGGGTCGTTTTCACTAAACCACGTTTTACTAAAGGGGGGTCTGTCCATCCCCGAACGAGGGGTCCTGGCCGTCTAGCCAGCACACTGCTGAGGCGAGGGCACGGCTCCCGAATAACCTGTGGCAGGGCCGGACTTGCACGGTGTTTTTTTGGGCGACTTCGCGGGCCGCTTTCGTTTCGACTTCGCTTTGCGGCGAGCGAAGAGCGGTATAACATAAACTTTTTCGCTGTCGGGGGCGCCTGTCCCTGGGCGGCTGGAAAGTTTATACCCCTACGGTGCCACCGTAAGGGTATAAACTTTCCAGCCGCCCTGGGACAGGCGCCCCCGACAGCGAAAAAGTTTATTTTATACCGTTCTTCGCCCGTTAAAAAGCGGCTTGAAGACAAAACGAGGGAAAACGAAAACAAAACGAAGGCGAAGAACACCGTTTAGGTTCAGCCCTGCTGAGGACGTCTCCGGCGACACGGCTGCCGGACCGGGTCGTCTCGGGCACCCCGCCCCCCTCAGCGGGGCTTTTGTGGTGATCGTTTTTTTCGCTACTGGTTGCAAGCCACCGATTCGTGAGGGCCCCAGGGCCTGACACCGAGAGAACGCCCAGCTCGAAAAAAAGGCAACGCCCAGATTTCAGGGGACGACGACGACGACGAGAACGCCGACGACGACGCCGACGACGACGGACGACGACGACGACGACGACGACGACGACGACGACGACGACGACGACGACGGCGGCGGCGGCGGCGCCGCCGCCGCCGCCGCCGCCAGGCCTCCTACGCGCCGCACCCGCAGTTCGCCGGGCCGCCGCCGGCGCAGTTCGTCGGCCCGCAGCCGGCGGGGCAGGCGCCGACGCTGCAGACGTTCGTGAGGCAGGACGCCGCGAGGCAGATGCCAGGCGGCCATGCCAGCACGAGGGTCAAGCAGTGGCGAAGCGTCCTGGCTCGCCTATAGCCCTACCCAACAAGGTTCTGAGAAGCTTTTGTGGTTTCCACGAAATGGTCTCAGAGCATTTCTGGTTGAGATTGTTTTGTTTTAACACATTGGGATTCTGTTCTAAGAACACTGTCTGGGTTCTTAGAACATTTGTGGGTTCTAATAACATTTCGTGGTAGGACTATGGGAATGCCAGGACGGTCGGTCCCTGCTCAAACGAGGGGGAGGCCCAAATGGGTATGCGACCGAACTGGTCACAGGAAGAGCGGGTACGACGACGGACAGCCTGGCTCGCTCATGTTGAACAGGACTCGCTGTGGGTGTCGCCGCGGGCGGTGTCCACTCGAGACAGAAGGCCGCCGGCCCACAGCGGCCGCTGTCGCGTTTGGACAATATTTTTGTTGGGCATCGCACCCGTTTTTCCGTAGCAATTTCGGACGTCCAAGCCAGACATCCAGCGTCTCGAAAACTCGAGCCAGAGGTTTTTCATTGTTTTCGGCCTCTCGGGGCTCTCATTGGGCCTCAAAACGACTCGGGATGAGAAACCGGTCCCGGGGAAGTGGGCGAGAGGTCGGGGGCCCGTGTCTCTAACAGATCGAGACGCGGATGTCTGGGGAGAGATGCCCTGAGATCCCGGTATCGCATTTTTGTTCACCTGGTGTTTTCCCCGGTTTCGGGCCGCCGAGAACTGTCAAAATGGGGTTTGGGTTTCTCGTGGTGTCTTTCGCGATGCCGCCAGGAGCCCGGCCAGTCAGAGTGAGACAGAGAGGGGGGACCTCCTGGAAGACCTCCCGGAAGGCCTCGGGGGCCCTGGAGGTCTCTGTGCAACCTTGGTTTCGGGGGGGAGGAAGGGGGAGGGAGGAGGGAGGAGGGAGGAGGGAGGGAGGAGGGAGGAGGGAGGAGGGAGGAGGGAGGAGGGAGGAGGGAGGAGGGAAGAGGGAGGAGGGAGGAGGGGTGGATGGGAGGAGGGTAGGAGGGAGGAGGGAGGCCCACAGCTCCCAAACGTCTGGATGCACACGCATTTGAAACACCGTCTCGGCGGCGTGCCCATGGCAGCCATGGGCACCGAGGCCGGGCCTGCCCACGACGGCTCCCGAAGGCCTCCCGGCACCCTGCGCCGCGCCCCGCGGAGCTCCCTCCGCAGCCGCTCGAGGGCTCCCCTCGGAAGGCCGGAGGGCCGCTGAGACGCCCCGCCGCCTTCGGATCGGTCCCCCCCATCCCCTCGGCACGCCGCCGAATTCCGAGGGCTCCTCGGAAGGCAGGAGGACTTCTGAGAAGCCCCGCCGCCTTCGGATCAGTTCCACCCCTCGGCACGCCGCGCCGAAGGCCTGCCCAGAGATCCGATGTCGTGACTTCTTCAAGACGGGGTCCCCGGAAGTCTCGACCCATTCCCCCGGACCAGTGTTTCATCCTGAGTCGTTTCTGGACGGTCCCGGGGCCCGGCGAGGGCCCCCTGGGGGCCGAACTTTGGGAAAGACCTCCGGCTTGATGTTTGTCACTGCGTTGGATCTCTGGACACCACGAGCGGAGCTGGGAGCCCCTCGCTGGGGACGATTTTTAGCATGTTTTGACAATTTTTGAATATGCTTGGGGGTATTTCTTATTCTTCGTCCAAAATCCCCCTGTAGGGGGACACGCCCGACCTGACACCAGTACAGAGCACGGGGGCGCCGCGGGCGACCTCGAGGGTGCCGCCGGGCCAGGGTGCGGCTGCGCGCCGGAGAGTGGCCCCGCGAGGGGCTCCCAGCTCCGCTCGTGGTGCCCAGAGATCCAACGCAGTGAACAAACATCGAGGCGGAGGTCTTTCCCAAAGTTCGGCCCCCAGGGGGCCCTCGCCGGGCCCCGGGACCGTCCAGAAACGACTCAGGATGAAACACTGGTCCTGGGGAATGGGTCGAGACTTCCGTGGACCCCGTCTTGAAAAAATCACGACATCGGATCTCTGGGTGAATGTGCATCGCGGCGGGTGGCTTTTGGCAGTTTCCGGCATGCAGGGGCCCTCGCCGGGCCCCCGGACGGTTCAAGACTGCCATGCTCCGGGAGCACAACCCGCCCTGGCCCCCGACCAGGACCCCCACCTGCCTGGTGATCCAGGGTGTCCTGGCTCGGAGCGAGGGGTGAGTCAGCCACGCGCAGAGAGGGGTGGGGGGAGGGGGGAGGGCTTCTTAGAAGCAGCCCTGTCTTTTAGAAGGCGCGGGCCTTATCTATAAATGTAAGGCCGGCCGGCGCCTTCTAAGAAGCAGCCTGCTTCTAAGAAGCCCTCCCCAGTCCCCCCACCCCCTTGTGCGCGCCGCCAAGTGGGGGGGCTTTCTGCTCCCCCCCAAAACCATCCCCACTCCCAGCCAGGCCCCCCTGGATCACCAGGTCGGGAGTGGGGGTCCTGGCTGGGGGGTGAGGGTGGGACGTGCTGTGAAGTCGGGCCTGTCCCCCTACAGGGGGATTTTCGACGAAAAATAACAAATACCCCCAAACTATACCAAAAAGGTACTTATAACCCCCCCCCAAAAAAAAACGTTCCCAGATTATGTTTGGACTACTTTTGGATTATT